GCGGCCGGCTCCCACCGGGCTCCGGGTGGCCTGCTGCGTTAGCAGTATCCTCACCTGTCAGTCCCTCTTGGCCGCTGACCACGAGCCCAGAGGCCTTTCGCCGTCACTATAAATACACCGGCAGCTGGCGTCTGGGCCTCGCACTCGTGCAGCCACCTTCTTTGCACAGACAGACGGCGGGCACACCTGGCCGCCTGGCCCTGGGAAAATCCAGGCTGCCGGGAGCCCCTCACCCTTCCGCCACCCAGGGACCCGGAGAGGTGACAAGGTGCCTGTCCTGGGTCCCAGGTGCCCCTGGGGGTTCACTGTGAGCGGAATGAGACTTGGGGTCTCTGAGCAGAACTGAGGTCTCCCCTCTGCGTCCTGTGGCTGGGAGAGGCTCCGGGCAGGGCCTCCCGTGTGCTTTTCTGGGATCACTGACTCCGAGCCCTCCATTCAGTGAACAGTTAGTGTTCACCCCATTTTACAGATGGAAAAACTGAGGCTCAGAAAGGGAGCGTATCTCACACAGCCTGGAGTAAGTATGGACATGAGTTGTGTCCATTATACAAAGAAATAGGCCCCCTCATGCACCCTCTTGTCCACCCCTTTGTCTCTCCAGCACAGCACCCTGTGCTGGGAAGAAGATTAACAGGGGCCAGAAGACAGGGAGAGCCTCAGTCAGGGCCTGGCTTGCTTCTCTCTGTGGCTCACAGGCTGACCTCCTCGCTCTCAACTCCCTACCACCTCCAACCCTGGACCAGAGAGGGCAGGTCTTTGCCTTCAGTCACGCAGCAAGCCAGGGGCAGAGCTGTGGCTGACCCAGGCCCCCTCGCTCCAGGCTGCGGCCCTGTCTCCTGCCATCCCAGCCCAGGGTGCCCTTCATGGAGACCTTGGCCCTTTAGGGCCTGGCCACACAGCAGGCCCTTTACTATGGTTCAGCCTCCTCGTTCATTTGTCCACAGGGTGCTCAGCACCTGCCCTCTGTATCACCCGTACAACTGGGGCGGGGGTCCCACCTGATAACCTCAAAAGTGTTTTTTTAGTTTTTTTCTTTTAGGAGTTTTGAGGACTCAAAATCCATGGGCTCTATTTCTGCTCTGCCTCTTACGACCTGTGTGACTTTGGGCAAGTGCCTGACCATTTCTGAACCTCTGTTTCTTTATGGAAAACATGGGAGGAGGCCCCTCCCTCCCAGGGCGGCGGAGAGAACTAAACCGGTTGAGATGTGGGATGAGCTCAGAACAGGGCACTCAGTGGGCATTCGTGTTCACAGTTACTGTTCACTTTGTTATTATTATTGCTTCCTGGTTCCACCCAGGAGGGGTGGGAGCCCTCCAGTTTCTCCCGCCCCCCTCCTTGGGGCTCCCCTCTCCACTCTGAGCCTCCTGAGCTGGCCCCTGCCCACAGCACCATTCAGGGAGGCTGGCACTGCACGAGGCGGGAGCCGGAGGCCGGCCCACGGCAGCGTCAGCAAATGGGCACCAGCTGGGCTGGTGGCTGGGGCGGGCTGGCAGCTGCCCGGAGCGGGCGGGCCAGGCAGCTCCTACCCTGCCCACCCCTGGCACTGTGCCTGCCAGCCTCAGGTTTCTCAGGCCGCCAGAGGGGGCAGGGAAGCCTGGCTGGGCTTCAGGGCTGGGCAGGCGGCTTCCCTCTCTGGGCCCAGTTTCCTCCAGGCACCTTCCCAAATGCAAGGCAGGTTGAAGAGTGCCAGGCTTACCCACTCCTGGCCTCCCCACCAGCCCCATCACCTCCCTCTCCAATACACCCTGCAGCCTCTGGGCTAGTCCAGCCCCAGGGCCTTTGTACTGGCTGTGCCCTGCCTGGCAAATTCTCATTCAGTCCCTCCACGCCTCCTTCATCTCCCTCAGGCCTAATCTCAAAAGTCACCTGCTCCATGCATTCCTTCCAGTCTAGCGTGCACCCTCTGGCCCCTCTCCACACCCCTCCCCGGCTTAGTTTCCCCCACATCACCTTTATTCACGTAACTGTGAATTGTCGGCTCTTCATCTCCTACTCACAGTGCCCCCACCAAGTGCACTCGTTTGGCAGGCAGCCCCCAATGCCCTGAGGGGAAGCTCGCATCACCCCCTCATCACAGTACTGCCTGAGGTCCCCTAGGCCAGCCGTGGGTGCACGCTGAGTCCAAGCCCAGAACCAGGGTCTGTGGCCGCAGTGACGCTGGATGAATGCCTGGGGCAACCAAATTGGGCTCCAAGAGGTGCCCTGGGCTCTGACAACTCCAGTACCGAAGGGACCTTCTCCTGGCTCGTCCCCACCTCTGCACCCCTCAGAATAAGCCCAAGGGTGGAGGCCTTGGATGCCCTTTTGGGGCGTGGCCCCACCAATCCACCTGGCACCCCTTGGGAGAGGTGGGGAGGCTAGCGGGGAGCAGCCGGGCCTTGCCCATGGACAGGGAAGGGCCGAGTGTGAAAAGGCAGGCGTGTGCAGTGCCTCTGAGTCTCTCTGTGTCTCTGGGTCCCTCTGTCTCTCCAGGTTTCTGTCTGCATCTCTGTGTGAGTATGTCTGTCCTTCCGTTGGTTCTAAGACTCCTGATGTTGGAGGTGGTCCCTCCCTTCAGCTGTACAGCAGGTGTTCCCCTCAACATCTACCCTACACCCCTCCAGAGGCCAAAAGAGGCCTGTCCTTCCCCCCTCATCAACTCCACGCCGCCCAGAAAGACTGACTAGAGTGGACACTGTGCTCTGGCCTAGGCTGGGGGCCGCCCCCTCCAGCCCCAGAACCCTCAGGGTACGAGCGGGCAGGCGGTGGCCATTTCTCTCTGCCATCGGACTGACATCAGCCTGGCCAAGAACAGATCTGACTCTGGCCCAGAACAAGGACAAGGGTCCTGGGATAAGGGACAGGGAGCTGGGGCTCAGCAGAGGGTCCTGGGGGGAAGCCTTGGTCTAGGGACCCTGGATGAGGCCTGGGCTGCCGGAAGCCTAGGGCACAGATGCAGCCCGGAGATGGCCGAGCCGTGAGACCGGCTGCCCATGCTGCAAACCACCATCTCCTTTCATCCTTTTCTGCCCCTAGGAATGGACGGCTGGAGGCGGGGTGGGGGTGGGGGTGGGGGTGGCAGCTGGGCAGCTGCCTACGTCCAGATCCCACCTGTGCCCTGTCTGGGCTGTGTAACCTTGGGCAGTCCCTTCTTTGGGCTTCTGTTTCCTTTTCTGTGAAATAGGCACAACAATGATTCCTGACTCATAGGGCTGCTGTGAGAATGGAAAAAAAATATCGCTGAGCCCTCAGAAAATGATGCCTGACAGAGGGAAAGTGGAGTTAGGAGGTGGAGTTCTGAAGCATAAGTAGGAGTTCTCCACAGGGGAAAGGCATTCCGGGCAGAGGGAACAGCACAGGCAAAAGCTTGGAGGTGGGAAACTGTAACCCTAAAGAGGATGGATGTGCAGTAGCCATCCACGGAGCCCCAGCCCCGCGCCTGGCACTTGTCTTCAACAGCCACGCACACCAACGGCCCTACAGGCAGCTACTTCTGAGCTTCCCAATTTGCAGACAAGAAAACGAGGCACAGAGAAGTTAAGCGATTGTCCAGATCAGCCGGCAACAGGCAGCTGGGTTAGGGCTGGAATCCAGGCCCCGCTCGCACACACCACCCTCACTCCAGGCCAGCTGGGGCTGGGTCAGCTGGGCCAGCGTGAGCAGGGATTCCCCTGGGGTGATGGAGTGGGCTGGAAGCAGGGGAGGGTGCAGCCTTGACCTTTCCTGGCCCTCATTCAAAGAGGTTGACCAGACTGGCCGTCAAAGGCTAGTGGTGGGGCTTGAAGGTGTCTGGGGAGGCCTAGAGGCCTAGCTTGCCTGCTGAGCTGAGGGGGAGAGGGGGCACGTGGGGGAAGGGAGGCGCCCAGAGATTGTGCTGACGCTGGCAGAAAACTCTGCTTCAAAATTTTATCAGCTCAGCTCGGAGGAGGTGGGGGTGGGGCTGGGTGCAGAGGATGAATGTGGAGGGGGAGACCTGGACCTGCATGGTAATGAGCCAGGGCAGCCCCTGCCCCTGCCTGAGACAGTCACTCCCCCCACTTCTGTGCCTCCACGCCTCCGCCAACACTGCTTCCCTGCCAGCCCAGTGGGCTTGTGGTGAATTGCTGGGGAGGGGGCAGGTGGGGTCAAGGTCAAGAAATCAAGGTCAAGGCTGGGAAATTCTGCCTGGCTTTTCTTCCTACACACCTTGGAGACCTGGAGCTCCACGGCCTCATCTAAGGATACCAGTGCAAAGAGTCAACATGGCCATTATCCCCCTTGTACAAAGGGGAAACTGAGGCATTGTACAGTGATGTGTCCAAAGCTGCGTTTGGAACACAGACACACAAGCAGGGAACAGTGGCCCTGGCTTTAGCCACCAGCACCTGTGGCCTTGAGAGGCTGGATAACATATCTAGCCTCCACATTTCCACCTAGGCTGCGGACCACCTGGGCTACCTCCACACCAGTCAATGCCCAGCCATCCTGCAGAGCTCAGTTCAGCTACACCTCCTCTTCCAGGAAGCTGGCATGGATTCCGCGCCCCCCCAAACACACAAAAACTCTGTTGGTCTCAACCTCAGGCATTTAACCACAGAACCAGCAAACACCCAGGTGGAAGGGCTGAAGCTGGGGACACTGGGGACCAGAGAGGGTGGTGATCTAGCCAGAGTCACGCAGCACCCCAGCTTCCCACTCATAACACAAATGTGTGCCCCATCAGGCTTCTGCTGGAGGTCTGAAAGTCAACCAACCTTTGTTCACAGCATACAATTCCAGTACTCGACCAGCTTTCCCCAGAGGAAACAGACTGTTCATCTCCCATCTGTCTGCCTCCCATCAGTCTCTGCTCTGTCCTCATCCCTCTTCCCACCAACCCCCTGGGACTTCCCCTTCGCCTGCCGCCTCCCCTGGACAACATCTGGTCCCCCCTCTACATCAGACTTCACATATGCTGGCTCCTCCCATGGACCCTGCAACTGTGCAGGAGCCCACCTTCCTCCCTGAACACCGGTGCATCCCATTTCCTCCCAGCTTACCTCTCTCCCGCACGAAGTAGGCCAGGTAGAGATCAAGCTCCTTGACTGCCACTCCGATGTGGTGCGGCTGCACGCAGAGCACTGGGTGGCCGCACTGTGCCGCCTTGACCAGGCGCTCGCCATCGGTGCTCTCCAGGGGGATGCCCTTGAAGAGGATGACCATGACCAGGTCCAGGCGCCACACCTTGTCGGCCTGGCGCAGGCAGTCGATGCGGCGCATCTTGCCCTTCTGGTCAGGGTTGGAGAGCACGCAGCCCGGTGCCTTCTTGCCGGTGATGGCCAACACGAAGTCCTCGCGGCACTCGGGCCGGATGTCCTTGCGCAGCTTGGCCAGCAGCCGCGATGCCCACTTCTGCTTCACTTCCGCCTTCTCTCCCAGCAGCTCGTCCTTCACTGCACGCTCCTCGTCCTTGGACATCCGCTTCTCGTGCTTCTTGAAGTACTTGCGCTTCCGCGCCTGCAGGTTGAACCACGTGTAGGCGAAGGCGCGCACGTGAGGCAGCAGCGCCTCGATGAACGGGTGGAATTCATCCTGTGGGCGGGTGGGAGAGGTGGGAAGTCAGGAGGCGTGGGGGAAGGGGACCCATTGCCCAGACCAGAAGACTGAAGCCCGGGGACCCCCAAGCAACTCAGTAAGTGGGGGAAGGACCAGGCAGAGGTAGGCTGGGGGCCACTGCAGACCCCTCCACCTCCTGAGGAAAGCGGAAGGGACCCAACAGAAGCTCATGAGGGACAGCCGAAAACCCGTTGCCCACATGGGAAAATTGAGGCTTGGACTAGGTGGAAAGCCCAGGCCAAGGAACACATTCATGGAGAACTGTCTTGAACCTCAAGACAGGACATGCTGAGGATTCCAGGAGGAGGCAGATGGGGACCCATTGTACAGACAGGAAAAATGAGATCGGGACAATGAGGATGTCGTGGATCCATTTTCTTCCTTCTAAAACTGGGGTTTGAAAGTACTATAAAGAACCAGGCAGTGAATATTTCACTCCATTCTGCACTGTTAAGGCAACACAGGTGAGATGTTAATGACTGGCACAGCGGCATTCCAATAGAACTTTATTGACAAAACAGATGGCTGGCACTGGGTCCCCAGGCTGTGTGTGAGCCCCAAGGTGGAGAGCAGGGCTGAGCACACAGTGGGTGCACATCGACTGCAGGAGAAACCAGGAGTGGAGGTTCCGTTCTTAGACCCCACTGCTCAGCAGAGGAAGCTGCCCCAGATGGGGGTCCAGGGCCACCCCTACTGGTCCTCGGCACTGATGGAAAAATGAGGGCGGGGGGCTGTTTCTAAAGATCACATGTATAGACAGGACTGGCTGAGGCCCACAGACGGAGACTAGGACCCCTGGATGTCAGCAGCTGATGGAAGTGTGGGGCCCCTGGCACAGACCCACTGCAGGCGCCAAGAAAGTTGAGGCTCTAGACACCAGGTCAGAATGCATGGAAGACAGGGGAGCGCAGCCTCGGAGGTTCAGACCCAGAGAAAGGGGCCCCTGGGGGCCAGTTCACCTCGCCCTGTCCCCCAAGGACCCATTCCACAGATGGAAAAACTGAGGCCCGGGGAGGGTGGGATCCAGCCAGAGCTGTGACTTCAACATCTCCCTCCTATGGTGCCTAATTGGTGTCACTGGGCCCCCAATAGGGAAACAGAGGTCATAAGAGGGGACCCAGTCATGAGGGGCTTTGACTGGACCCCACACCCATCTGACCCCCCTCCCCATGGAAGCAGCAGCCCCAGCAGGGCCCCTTGGAGAGCCACAGGGGAGGCCCCAGCCCTTCTCAGAGGGCAGGAGGGCTGCGTCATTCTCTTCATTTTCTAGCAAGGGAAACAGTCCACAGAACATCGGGACCTGGTTTCTCAGCCCCGAGAGTGAGACATTCAAGGAGAAAGGAAGACAGAAGAAAAACTTCGGTCCCATCTCCCTACTCTTGCCTGGGCTGTGCTAGGCTTTTTGAATGGGGTAATATCCCTTCCTGGCTTATGAACCCCATTATCTGCCCAGTTCTCAAAAGGCTGCATTAGCTGTTAGAGTCAAACTGTGGTTCTCAAATGTCTCCCATCTTGAACAATTCGGTTCTTGACCAAGTTCTTCACAAAAAATGTCTCGATTGTGGAACAGAACTTCTGTTCTCAATCCGACAACCCTTTCATGCTGACACCATATTTCTAGTGGGAAAAAATTTCTAATGGGATTTGGTTTTCAAGCAAATCGCTTCTCCAGCAGCCTTCCGGAGTGAATTAAGCTCAAGAACCAAAGTTCCACTGCACTATTCTTATTGATGTTTTTACGATTATTTTGGTTGCTTGCGATCTTCCAGGGCGGCAGAAAAGGGCCTGAGGCTTTGCTGTATGTTGCGTGATGTGGAAACTGAGGCTCACGGAGGCGTGGAGACCTGGCCTAGGTCCCACTCCCAGGGCCTGTGTGCAGGTAAGAACCCAGGACTGCCACCCCACCAACGGTCCCCAGCCCCTTCCTCAGAACAGCCCGATCTCCACGAGGCTGGGGTCTCGGAGAGTGAGAAGCAGCTGCTGTGGGCTCTTGTTGGCTTTCTGGGTGGATGAGGCCAGGGCACAGTCGCACCTCCAGACCTGGATGCACATGGTACCCACTCACCCTCATTGCTCTGTATGTACTTGGTCTTCCTTTGAGCCATCTCTGGCCATGGGGTGCTGAGGGGGGAGGGGGATGACCTCAGATTTCACTTATTACTGAGTCTCTGAAAATAGCCTTCTGCCCTCACCAGGGTGGGGTGGAACGGGGCTCGGCTTGTGCGCCCAGTTCCCCACTCCAGTGTGCTCTGAAGCATGAGTCACTGGAACAACTGTGGCAGGGACTGAACCTTGGGTCCTCTTCTGCTGCCCCCACCCCGCTGACCTGCTGTGGCAGAGGGAGGGCGAAGGGGCCCATCCCCTGCCAGTCCCTGTCCAACCCGAGCTGCCTGTCCTGTGCTTGAGTGCCACTCGGCACGCCAGCCCCAGAGATGGGGAGCCACTCGTCCAGGGTCACACAGCCCATGAGCAGAGCTGGGCCCGGTGCCCAGGTCATCTGGCTAGAGAAACTGGGGGGCGGGGGGCAGGGAATCGATAGAGGCACAGGTCGCTGTCCCTGCGGAGGGAATGCCAGGGCAACGGCGTGGACGTTGGGCTGTGGCTGCCACCCAAGTTCTGGTGATTACTGGGGCCCTGATAAGAGGGAGCTGGGAAGAGGCAGCTGGGGTGTCAGCCAGCAGGGGCAGGCGAGTCCCCAGACTCCTCCTCTCCTTGACCCCCGCCTTTCTCTCTGAGTACCTCCCTACTTTTGAGCCCCTTTCCCTCGATTTTTTTTCTTGGTCTGGGCCCCTCTTCCAGCTCCTTCCCTCTTCCTCCCTCCCCCTCTCTGATCTCTACCCCCTCTCTGGGGAGAGGTGCCAGGGAGGCGAGCAGGGGTGGGAGCCCACGTCACCAGTGACCCTAGCTGGTCCTGGAGGAAGGAAGACAAACAGTCTGTAACTGGGTCATGGACCTGCTGCCCCGTCCTCTCTTGTCCTCCCTGGGAGGTCAGGCCAGTCACTCTCTTTGTCCCGTAAGACCTGCAACAACCAAGGCCTCTTCCGCAGGCGCCTCCCAATGTCCTCAGTGGCTGACAGGGCAAAGGAAACAGCCAAGGCAAGCTAGGACGCTGAGAATCCTCCCAAACTCCTACACATCCCTCAAAGCCCTATGTCCAGTGTTCCTTCATTTCCTGCTCTCCTCAGGGCTCCCTCAGACCCAGCTTGGACCACACAAGCTGTGGGGTCTGGGTCCAGCTGTTCCCCCTTCTCCAACCCTAAGTCCCAGGGCTGAGACAGCATCGCTAGGCAGACCCTAGAGGGGAATGAGGTATGGTGATACTGGCCTCCATGTTCACCTTCTGTGTGCCCCAGGAACAAATCACTGCTCCACTCTGGGCCTCAGTTTCTCACTTAGTAAAATGGACAGAAAGGGACACTGTGGCCTGTTGTGGGGCTTGCCTACTGCCCTGATAACCAGAGAGCAGAGGGAGGGGAACAAGGCTAGACCTTCCCCAGAAACCCCACTCGGCCCACTGGGACTTCCTAGTCAAAGAGGGCAGCAGCAGCTTGGAGGCAGGCCCCTGGGCCTGAGCCCTTGCTGGGCTCTATGGGTGGGACAGCTGTGCACTGGGCTGGGCTCCTCTGGTGACCCTACCACCCTCAGAGTCCAGGGCAGCAAACCAGCACATGTAACTCCAATTTCCACCAAAAAAGTATTCCAGGAAGGATTCTCTCTCTCCTCCGTTCACTCAGCAATCACTATGTTACCCACCTCCTAAGCGCTTATTCCAAACTCCTATGCATCCTTCAAGGCCCCGATTTCAATGTCCCCTTCTCCAAGTTAAGCCCAGGTGATGTGGCAGACTTGTTTATATGCAAATGAAGACCAGTCTGGCACCAGGTTAGGGTTCCTAATCTAAGGTATCTCCTCCCCACAATCTCAGAATATCAGAGTTTATGAACAGCTCTTATCTAATGAGGGAGAGAGTCATTCAGTAGTTCAAAGAACATTTACAGAGTGCCTGCTGTGTGCCAACCCCATGCACAACGCTGGAGACCCAGCAGTGACCTGGGTTTGGCCCTCACCCAGATCCTCATCTGGGGCAGAAACGGACATGAAACAAACCAACAAGTATGTAATAAAATGTCAGGTTGAACAAAGTGGTTTGAAGAAAGCTAAAGGAGTTTGAGGGGGCCAGGGAATCCCTTGGGGGTTGTTTCTTAGCTGGGGTTCCGTAGGGAGGTCTCTCACAGGAGAGGACACTTGAACGAAGACCTGAAAGAGGACAGTCAGAGTAGCTTTCCAGGTGGAGAGAGCAGCACCAGCACGTGCACAGGCCTGGAGGCAGGACCGTGCCCAGTGCTTTATGGGAAGAGCGAGGAGGCGGGTGACGCTGCAGCAGGGTGAACATGAGGGACAGTGGAAGGGCGAGGGCAGGGAAGGGACGGAGGCCGGTTGTGCAGAGCCTTACCGGCCAGGCCACGGGGAGGAATTTGGTAAACAGACCAGAGAGTGAGACCCCACAACAAACTGGCAAGTGAGTGTGAGCCAAGAACTCTGACTTCTTGTCTGGTATCCCGGGGGGGATGGGGGCTGAGCCAGAGGCACGGTGTTCAAGACAGGGTCCAGGAGGTTGTGCCTTTTGGAGGCTGAGCATTTACTGTGCCCACTGCCCGAAGGGAGAGACTGAGGCACTGAGCACTGGAGCCACTGGTCCAAAGTTGCACAGCCAGGAAGGAGCAGAGCTGGGAAGTGTACCTGAGTCCCCGTCACTGTGGGCCTCCGGACTCCTCAGCCCCACTGCTGGGCCCCCTGAGCATGCGGTCTGACCCCAGCCTTGGAGCTCCCCAACGCCCACTCTGCACTCCCTATGGTCCCTCCGAACTGTGTGCGGCTCCCCTCCCGGGCCCCATCCTGGGCCACACAGCCACCACCACCTCCTCCTCCTGGGAGGGGCCCCACTGTCCTGCACTGTCCCCGTGCTTCCTGCCCAT